TCCCAGGAATGATGTATATACAGGAATGGTGTATTTAACTAAAAAAAAATAGAAGAGCGAATGTCTCAGATATCTGCATTGGGAAACCACACTGCCTAGGTCAGAAGCTTGTCTGTCAGAGTACTGTCTTTAAAAAGAATCTTCTTTTGTCTTTTCTTCGTCTCTTAGCGCCATTCGACTCTAAATATGATTCACTGATCCTCAGTTTCACTCAAAATTCGTCCTATATAATTTGGTGTTTTCTATTTTTTAAAACGTTTCTAAAATGAGACATCGCATTATCATTGGAAATATTATGCTGCAGCTTGCTACTCTTAGAAAGATGATATCGTTACATGAAATATTGCTTCTCACCCCATTTTGGAATAATTTTGAAGATCAGAGGAATTAGGTTAATCCTTTCTTCGATCCCATTCCTCTGAAGACACTTCCTGGTACAGTTGCCGCTTGTTGATGCTTCTGAATATCTTTCAGTTCTTTCTTCTTGAATTAGTTTTTATGGTCCAGTAGTAACTCTTCCACCTTTTCATGTTTAACTTCCAAGCTCATGGTTTTGTCTAGAGACACAGACACTGTATGACAGATAACAAAATGTCTTCCACTTAAAAGCTTTCAAACTTTCAAATCTCTGCCCGCAATACATTCTGGCCATTCTGCAGTACGTTTCTGTAAGTAACTTGCCGCCAGATTTTGGTAGTGAAAGTTCGGTAATATTATTTGTTCGAGATGAGAGTATTTCGTGATTCGAGTTTCTGCTGGATTTTGGAGTTGAAGAAAGAAAGTAAATAAGGAGTAAATGAATGAAAGGAAGATGCTATTAGTTCAATGAATCAGAGAATAATGTCCCTAAAAATGATTTGAAATAAATTTAGAAAAAATAAAAGTGATTTTGGTTAAGAAACTGGTCATTTTGAAAGTCAAGAGTCATTTTGAAGTCAAGAAATTGGCCAAATTTGGTTATCATATTTTAATCACTATCGAAAACTTTTAGGAGAAATCTAAAGATTAGAAAATACTGTTCTAGAGCCGAGCCGATTCCTACTGTTCTACTCTAGATTAATTTCTAGTTCATTTTCCTTGTCACACAATTACATTTTCTTTATATTGCAAAATAACATATTGTATATTTGTATGAAACAGGTTTTGAAATGATATCGCGCTCTAATCAATGATACTCTGGTTCTAAAGCATTCGGTCTGACGCATCGCTACCAAAAAGAAGCTGCAGGCAATATTCAACCCTTCCACACTAGCGGAACTGTGAGCCCAAGCAGTGCGTGAATTTAGCGGCTCCGCTAAAGGAATAAAAAGGCATTTATTCTTTTGAGATAAAATTTAGTATGTATGCGTTTGGTTGCCAATAAACAATCTAAGCGGTAATGTCATTCAAAATTTAAGGAGTGAAATATTCTCTCAGTTCCATTAAACAACCGGCAACCGGATCCTTCAGTTTCCTTGCTTTTCTTAGGATCAAAATTCTGCTAATGTAAATCAGCTTTTACGTACGCTTCTGAGCAAATAAAGAGCAATTCAGAAACCTTTGTCAATGCTTTAGAGTGGCTCTAGGACAAAACATTTCTAAACAATTATTATGTATTTCTGAGAAACCACGTTCTTAACAGACCAGATACACAAAAAATACGAAATGCTAAAAAGAAAAATTTCGCAAATAACATGTTTGCAGCTTTTGAAGATTTTATAAAGATTATTCAAGAAATAAATAAAATTTTCAGTGACTATTCTATATTCGATGTAATTAGAACAATTAGTGGTTGAGGTTCGTGCTTTCCCCACTTCTACTGACAAATGTGCTATTTAACATTCTGGAGGACATATTTAGCGGAAACTTTATGTGGTGTAAATGGAAACTAATATACTAAGTGTGATACTGTGCTTAGATTTTAATATTTTCTATCTGTATTTATTTTTAGTCTGTGGTAACATTGGTAGCTTTGTATTTACTCGTAGCTTAAGTATTTGTTGTGAATATTATTATATTTCTTTAACTTCAGAACATTTGTAATTACTCTTAGGATCTTCAGTTTTATGTGGCCTTGATAATACCTTTAGTTATGAGCATCGTTCAGCCTTTAGTTATGAGCATCAAAAGTGAATGTTCTTCGATGGCGATAAGGTCGGTACACGTAAGAACTCCCGTGTTGCGCTACTCAGGAAGGAAACACGCCAGCAGTTGAATCATTTCAGAGTTCGCGATTGATGTAGAAATTCTAATTTAGTTCTTCTTCCAAGACCATGTTCCGACCTCAGAGATATGGTCAATGTTCAGTACTATGTCGTCATTAGTAATGTGGATATGGAGAAGCCTTCCAATAGCAGACAATAAAGGTTCGTAACAATGCTCCCATATATACATAGCCAGTGCTAGGCTTTCTGCCGCCCGGTGCAACCACTGTGGCTCCTAAATTCTGTCCCCCTCCTTTTTAAATTCTAAAAATTTTACCAACCCTGTATGCACGTCGTAAAAGTCAAGATCTCCCGCAGAGCAAATATGAAATATTTTCAATCTGTTAGGAACATCACCAGTTCAAGAGACTAGATGTTCAAAGTAATGTGAGAAATAACGACAAGATAGAGGCTCTTGACTGTTCTGATATGCAGGATACAATTATAATGACTTGAAACGATGAGATTGCAGTGGTCAGAAATATTTAGATTTTAGTCCGAGAATTTATTGAAGAGATAAAAATTCCCTATCAGTAATCTAAAAATATATATCTTCATTTCAAGGAAAAGGTCACTAATTGCTTGGGGAAAGAGAAACATTTGGAAGTAAGAACTGAAGTTAACAACACTTTTTACGAGAGGATATAACGCGAAGCGTGAGTAAACAATCCTTAAGTAGCTTTTCCCTTGACTCTACAGATTTTTAAAGAAGAGAATATCAGGGCAAAGTTAAATAAATGTTTACATCACGTTTGTCGACATGACATGAGTACCCAGTCTATGTGGCATATAATAAATACTCGAATTCTTGAATTTGACTTTAAAAAAAAATATGGATTTTGTCAAAATATGATGAGAAACCTCTTCGAATCTTTAACAAATAAATTTCCGTGTTTGTAATGAATGATAAGGAACTGTGGGTAGCAAAAGTATTATTATTCCTCCTTGATGAGAATATGTCATTATGTAGGCTTCTAGAAGAAGCTCGATAAGAAGTTTCAGGCAGGATTTATGATATTCCTAGTGGTAACACAGATTTCAAAGGACTCTTGGTTGCTATTGCAATGGAAGTGAGAATCGGAAATCGATATTTAATGATTGGCGACAGCCTTGCGGCTTTGAGTCAGCTCATTTTGTAAAATAATGCCAAAGGCTCATTGATGTGAAGGAAAAAGCATAATATCCCGCCTAGTAGGCGAAACTTTTGAGAAAATCATTAGTAACATGTAAGATAAATATGAAAGATAAATGAGCAAACAGATAAGTTTATAATAAGAAAACTCCAGAATAGTATTCAAAAAAGAAATACTTGACTAAAAGACTAAAATGCAAAATTGTCTAAAAATTCAGCTTGACTAAATAGAGTAAAATAATAATTCAGAAGTCAAACAACAAAAATCAGCGTTATATTTACAAAATTTTCACAGGACTAGTTTCGATGGTTTTACCGAACCACCATCTTCAGTGCAAACCGCAGCTGAAGATGGTGGTTCGGTAAAACCATCGAAACTAGTCCTGTGAAAATTTTGTAAATATAACGCTGATTTTTGTTGTTTGACTTTTGAATTAGTATTTATTCGGCGTGTTATTGTGTCTTAATTAGAGTAAAATAAATAAAAACATCGTTTCAATACAAAAGGTGCGAACAAAGCTCGAACTTGCTATCGGAGGAGCTGTAGCTATCAGTTACCCATTGCGTCGCCACAATAGCGGCATCGAAAAAAGCAGAAACATCTATACGTGCCAGAATCAATACTCCATGACGAGCCATAAAAAACATTACAGGAGCGCTTATAATCTTGAATTACAGAATGATCATATTGTAAGATTCCTTGATTTCAGCGTGATCAGAGGATATCATATCGTGAGAGATAGCTTTTTCTTCTATTGTAGTAACTTTCAGATCTTGATGAATGATGCTATTGCGAACAAACAAAGGAGCGCTGGTAAGAATTTTTAACAATTTATTTTGAAGTATTGAAATGGAAAATATGTCAGTCAGAGTTATCAACATAAATGATTCATCACGTGCTTTGACAAAAGGAGCGTGAACACAATTTGCAAACTGTTTCTGACGAAAGAACATGAAATTTCTTCTTGCTTTTACGTTGCAAGCATTTGACAAAATTCGTTTAGTTATGAGCATTTCTCGAAGTTTATAAAAGTATTTAATTGCAAGCATAAAATTAACTTTAATCTGTGTTAATTAATACAGTAGCTTAAAGATTTCTTCCCAATTTCTTCGGGAAGGAAATTTAAGGGGTACACATTTTATGTAATACCTATTAGTTTCAAGATTCCCCAAAAAAGAACTTTTATGCGAAAGACAGAGAAACAAGGAATGGAATTACATTTGTTTGTGAACTTTATTACTGCATATGATCTATAACATAACTAGAATATATATCACTGAAATTAAAATATAGGTAGAAAATTAGAATTTTTGTCCATAGCTAAACTAATTTGGTGGTATTGGCTTCTGAGCTGTAGGGTGGTTCTTTTTTGAGAAAATTTGTGTTATAATATGAAGGCAAATTTTTTATAGTTTTGAGTGGATTACTAATAACTGGACGAGATGCATAGATTTGAATCAAGATTTAGTAATTTTATAATTCATGATTTATCGCTCATCATTGAACGAGTAGCAATTTTCCTATTAACTTTGCCTGGAATTTAGAATGAGTATTTTACTAATTGTGAGTGATAAGTACTATTAGAAATTAAAAGTGATTTCAGAATTAAAATTTAAAACATTTTGGCAATATGTTCCAGTGAAGCCCGAAATTTATTAAATGGTATACGGAATCAGCTGTGCGGCGCGCACTGCTGAATGACGTCAGGGAAGAACCGTGGTTTGTGGGAGTAAATGAACGACTTTTTGTGTCTTGCCTGTGTTAGTGCTCTTAGTAGTGTCTGTATTGTTTTATTAATTTAAAAATGTGGAGGTAAGTGTTAATTTAGGATATATATCATTCCTAAAAAGGTCAATACTTTAATTGCACAATGAACGGTATATCGTTCAGTGAATTATGTTGCTTGTTTTGTTGTCCTCCGTTTCCTTCTCGCATAGCGGCTAAGCTCGCATTTATTCCTCCAGAGCCAACATATTCCTTCATAGCAGATGAAACTGGAACTAAATTTACCTTACGTTTATCAGATCGTGCAGAATGGCAGTATTCGCAAAGAGAATTGGATGGAATAGAAGTGTTTTTTACAAGAACTCCTCGTGGAAACAGAATTGCATGCATGTTTGTGCGATGTACTCCTGACGCACGGTTTACAATTTTGTTTAGTCACGGAAATGCTGTGGATCTTGGACATTTGAGCAGTTTTTACCTTGGACTAGGATCTAGAATAAATTGTAATATATTCAGTTATGACTATTCTGGATATGGAATTAGTACCGGGAAACCATCAGAAAAGAATTTATACGCTGATGTAGATGCGGCATGGCATGCATTACGTACGCGTTATGGTATAAGTCCAGAAAATATAATTCTTTATGGACAGAGTATTGGTACAGTGCCTTCTGTGGATTTAGCTTCTAGGTACGAAGTTGGAGCCGTTATACTTCACGCACCTTTAATGTCTGGAATACGTGTAGTTTTCCCTAACACAAAGCGAACGTGGTTCTTTGATGCCTTTCCTAGGTAAGTACTAAAGTTTCTTCATACTAACAATATTTGATAAATTTTCAGAATTTATTCGACTCATTTATTGACTTATTGGGGAAAAGCATCTGAAAGAAGTTGCTTGCCAGGAAGGAATTACCTTTATTGTGTGAAGAAAACTAACCAACATTTATTCTACACATAGAAGTAACCCCTAAAACATCATGATGCGTATGTAGGTCATAATTCTGACAAAGAAATTTGCATCTAAAGCTAAGCTAATATCTGTCTAAAAGAAAGCTTGCCAAATAAATGTTGAAATGAAAAGTGTTTCTAAACTTTGAGCAAGACACATTTAAAAGTTTTCACTGTATGTTCTTTTATTTGTAACAAGTGAACGATCATAGAAAGTATTACATATGACTTAAGAAAGTTCTAACAATAATTTTTAGTTTAGTTTACCAGGATTTCTTTCCTCAAAATGCACTTGTTATTCACTTGTTGTAGCTTAGAAGGCAGTGAAAAACTTTCAAACTTTTCCTTTTTGAATTTTAATTTATGTGAGGTGTGAAAACATTGTCTGCTTTCAAAATATTTCTTATTCGTGCTTTTATCAAGTAGCAATGTGTGAGTTTTTAGTGTTAAAAATAGGCTGCATTTATTGTTTTTAAAATACCTTTCGGAAGCATAACGAGTTCATACTTCTTCTGAAAAGCATGTACTGTTAACATCTTGCATCCAGATTATCTTCATTTCTTCTCATCCCACCATTAAAACTAGTGTGTACAAGCGATTTTTGTGCCAAAAATCATCGCTACACAAATCTAAAATAACAAGTCAAAGAATTTCACAAACTCAGTATCCATGTACACATCAACCTATTTTCACTTAAAAAAACATCAGAGTTGCACAAACTAGGCCCTTGACTTTGTCCACGTACACATCAAGGCAAATTTTCCGTAACCAGCCCTTAGCTATTTTAAAGCTATAATAAATTAAATGCTGTTGTTGTTGGTTTCATTTCTACTTTGCCCAGTTTGTCTTTATGGCCATGGCAATATTTATAACATATATAATACCTAAAAAAGCTGAACTTTTTGTTATGTTAATAATAATAATTTGCTGCATTGAAGAGATTTTTCAATCTGAATTAACAGAGGAAAATTATGAAGTAGAATTTTCTAAGCAATTTCTTACATACTGTAAGTAACTGAGAATAAATAGAATAAAGTTTTATTTTTTCAATTATCTCCCCATAAACGTGTTGTGAAAATATGAACTAATAATGATTTGCGATTTTCAAACTTTATTTTCTTTTACCGTAATGTTCAAAAAAATAAACCCCATAAACGTTTTGCGAAAATATGAACTAATAATGATTTGCGATTTTCAAACTTTATTTTTTAACTCCCAAAACCCCATAAACGTTTTGCGAAAAGAGATTTTCATGATATGGATGTACATGGATATAGTGAAGAGTGTGCGCAATGCAATTTTTGTGCAATTCTGGGATTTTTTTTTAAGTAAAAATAAGTTGACGTGTACATGGTTTAGTGATATTTTAATTAAATGATAGTTATTTTGTGAATTTTATGTTTGTAGGAATTTGGTATACGTTTCAGTTGAAGTAAACGTGCGTGGAAATAATTTAAATATTTGACACTAAGTATTTGTAACCATTTGTAATGTTTGCGGTATGAATCGTTGGTGACGTTTATAATATAATAGATAATTTAGAGGTTAAAGTTTTTGGATATTTTATTTATTTTATACGCGGAAATGTTCTATTTGGAAGGGTTGTGTAAACTATTTCGCGATCAGGGTAATTTCATATATGTCTTTTTACCGGGTTTAAAGATTGAGAAACTGTCATGTTTTTCGTGAAATTTTTATAATTTATGAGAAAAAAGCAGTTACATGGATATAGTGAAGAGTGTGCGCAATGCCATTTTGTGCAATTCTGGGATGTTTTTTAAGTAAAAATAAGTCGACGTGTACATGGTTTTAGTGATATTTTAATAAATGATAGTTATTTTGTGAATTTATGTTTGTAGGAATTGGTGTACGTTTCAGTTGAAGTAAACGTGTATGGAAATAATTTAAATATTTGGCACTAAGTATTGTAACCATTTTTAATGTTTGCGGGTATGAATTCGTTGGGACGTTTTAGTATATAGATATTTTGAGGTAAAAGTTTTTGGATATTTTATTTATTTTATACGTGGAAATGTTCATCCTTGGAAAGGGTAGAGTTGGTCGGCAAAAAATCGCCAAGTTACCATAATCCAAAGTTTAACCCAAATTATTTACGCGAGTTTTCGCGCTTTCTTAATATCTCGCCAATATTTTCCCATTTTCTACAACCCTCATTTAGAAACAAACTCAATTTCGATTTACCAAAAAAGTTTGCAACAAAAAAAGAATACGGAATCTTTCGACACTGAGTATACCAATCTCTTGATATATGTTTTTTATTTTTCAAATTCTGTTATAGTATTTTGCAGTAAATCTTCAACTTAAAATTTGATTGTCAAATGGAAAATTGCAACTGAATAAAGGATGTAATGAACTGTTTTTTAACTAAAATGATTGGTCTGAGTCGCATATACCATCAGGCTTTAATCCTGGTATAGAGATTGACTGGGCCCACAAGTGTCTGAGCAGGTGAAGACTGATTGTTCGGTCCAAGGTTCGAATTCCATGAATGGGCTGGCTGCATATGTCGTTTCGTGGTTCTCCTTGTGTGTAACATGTATACAAGCCAGTTTCTCCTAGAAAGTCCTCCACAAAAAGGCATCCCTACCCTTAGGTAGATAGCTCACGATGCTTTGCCATAATTACATAAACCAAACCAATGTTTGGAGCTTCCTTCATTTTCCATGGTAGTAACATGTTGAGCCCTGTTCTTGTCTGCAAGTTGTAATTTCATTGTCAGTGTTGCTGCCATCTTGATAATCCAAATCAGAATAAATAGTAGTGTCTAGATCTCGATAATCACTTAGTTTGGAACTACTTGCATCTCTTAAAAAGCTACGCAACACTCCCGATTGCTTTTGAAGCCGAGTGTGCTTCTCCAACCTCTTCTTTTTTATATTGGCTACCAGATAATCTTTTTCTTCTCTCAGACATTCTAAAACAGAGATTTAATTTGATAAAGTTAATCAAACAATCAAATAGGATATCTTCTAAAGAATGGTAAAAAAGGAGATGCCTTGGATTAAAAAAAATATTATATTGTTGTGATATAATACGAAGCAACCACCCAGAAAGTTGTCCTTTTTAAAATTTCAAAGTTAATAGCAATACATATAGCAAAAAGTAGCACTGAAATCAGTTTAACAGTTCCTGAGAAAATCGGAATTAAACATAAAAAAAAAAAAAAAAAGTGATCTTTTACGTTTTCACCTTAGGAATTCTGTAATATATAGTGTCTTGAAATTTTTAGCTTAAAATTGATTTGGATTATCTGTATAATGTAGAATTTCCAATTGTCCCCACTGAAAAATCATGGAAAAGTATTGATGAATCTGTACACCTTATCACCAAGAAGTATTTACTTGGCAACCTATGATGTCACTAAAACTACTATTTATGTGGAAAATTACTATTTCACCCCAAAGTATTTACGTAACAACCCACGATGTCACAAAAGAAATATTTATACGGCACAACACAATGCTGCCCAAAAGTATTTATGTGGCAATCCAGGTATGCATGTATTCCCAGATAGAATTTCCATTTCTTCAGACAGTTTCATCAATAAGGCTGCAGATTGTAATCTCTCCCATAAAAACTTTAGCAATTTAGCATCGCAGTGTGTTGCAAATTTCATAACTTTCAATAAAATCTAAGACTTAGCTTTCTTCACGCATTGAGCATAATAATGACTTACGTAACCCCTCCAAGCATTCTGGAGTTTTTCCTGAAATTTCAAAGTTTCCCAAAATGGCATGAATAAACCAAATTTTCTTTAATTCCAAAATGACCCTTTCACTATGAGTATGGGCTTATTTTCTTCCATAATACATTCAACCTGAAATCTGATTTATCAGGATCACATGGAAATTTTCATATGTAACAAATGAGAAAGCCATCCTTTGATACAGAATTTTACATCCACAACGCTTAAAAGGCATTGCTGACCTTTTTTTTTCATCTCGGTTTAGGATTTTGGTGCAATTTTTTCATTACTTTAGTGAAAACAGATTGCTTGCAATGGGGAGAACAACACTGCTAAAGCTGAAAGGTATGTATACCTTGTATCAGAAAAAGAATGTAAAAAATAGGTGGTACTAGATGCATAAAGATACCTAAACAAGTGTTTCTATCCAAAGTTGGCATTTTTGTGGTGGGATTACAGGTAATCAGAAAATATCTATAAACCTTTCATCAAGAGTTAATTTCTGATAAAGTATCGAATAGCAGTTCAGTGTTTGAATGGTCACCTGCAGAGCACATTTCTTGTTAAATTTCAGTTAAAATGCATACGTAATGAAAAAGTTTTAAGACTGCGAGAAATTAAGAGTAGGCTTCTGAATAGTATAGATTTATTCATCCATACTGAAAGTGACAGCTGGAGCAGTGATATAGCGAGGGGGAGGCAAGGGGGTCTATAATGCCTTGGGTGCTTCTCACATAGGGGTGCCAAATGGTCTCCAAGACAAACAAGATTTTCTTGAAAATTTCAATTTTGATTTTGATTTCTGGGAAATATATTTTAAATTAATAATTATTTCCTTTCTTGATTTGTCTGATAAAATAAGCATTGCTTGCAGTAAATCAACCAAATATCTCCATGTGTAAAACGTTCGTTCTTTCTTTCTGAACACTTTTATTTTTCTAAAGTAGTGATATAATTTTATTTTTTTTAAAACAAAATGCACATACAACACTGTTTGTTATTTTAAAATCATTACAAATAATACATCTTATTATCTTTTATTACATTATAAATCCTTAAACCTTGTATCATTCTTAATTCGGTGGCCAAACTATAACTATAGACATCTTTGTTATACATTTTACTGTTTAATATCTAT